TCGGCGCCGACGTAGAAGGGGCGTCGACCTGGTGACGCCGACTTGGGTAGCTGACAACTGCACTGGTCGACCAGGAGTGACGTCGACCTGGATCTGGTCGACCGGAGGAGTGGTCGACCTGGTGAGGTCGACCTGGTGTGGTTGTCGACTTGGGAGGTCGACGAGCACATACAGGAGCAGCTGGTCGACATAGTTGCCCGGTCGACCAGGATACCTGGGTGACGAGGTTCTGCGAAGGAGTGCGACGGTCACCCAGGCGAAGTTGGCGAGACCGACCTCCATGGTGGTATCCCGAGGTCGTCGTGGCGGATCAGAGGCAGTCGCTAGCCCGAGGTTGACGTGGTGTGTGCGCTGTGCAGGTGACGAGACTTTGCATGCCAATCATCTGCGCGCACCTGCAAAGCGGGTGCACTGCTGTCCTGCGTGAGCAATGCTGGCACACCGTCAACCTGCAGCGTTGGCAAGCTGTCGACTTTGCACTGCTGTAGCGTGGTCAACCAAGTCGTGCTGGAACGCGGTCGACCATGCTGTGCTGGCAGTCGACCAACCTGAATGCTAGCTCTGATGTAGTCTTGCATTGCCAACTTCATTGTTCCATCATTGACAACTTTCTCTAGTGAAACTCTTGCCAAAATTGCCCCGTGAACTAGCAAGCAGTGTGAGCACTAGGAAAACGTCTAAGGACCAACGAACGCAGACATCACACGAGCACACGTGCCTAGCCAGTACTCTAAGCTCCTGTTGTAGTAGTTATCTCCGCACCTGCCACACACGGTCAATATGAGATACATGTGCATGGGTACTTTCCCTAATAATCCAGACATGCTACACAAGCCGTACTCACTTGGATGTTACCACTATGCATACGTAGTCGTATTTGAGCAAGGACTCGCTCCCGATGCCGCACATTAAATTCTCGCTACACGCCGACTAGTACACCAGGGTTGCCAGTGCAACCCAAGTGCTCCCCGTAGGTAGCAGTGGATGCATGATGCTCAGAACGCTGCGAGAAGAAGGGGAAATACATTAGCACCAGAACTACTTCGCTCGTCCACTGCGTATAGAGTCGCATTGACTACTCACACGCTGTGGAAATCAATGGTTGTCGCTGGAATCTCACAGCCGTCTCTAATGCCAAGCGCATCAACCATCGTCACGTTGGCGCTCTGCCCAATCTGATTCGTGATCAATGGGGTCGGAAAGTGCTCTCTCGTAAACGCGGCAGGTAAAACTCTGCTACCCAAAGATGACCCAGGCACGGATTTCGCGAAGATGGACACTATGTCGTCGAGTTCGGGCGGCCTCTTCTCCACCACAGCTGTGACGGGGACTTCAAACTTTACCGCACGTTGTTCCGATTTCTTGGTCGCGCCTAGATCACACTTCGCTCCACTCATTCGCCCGCTTTTCCTAGACGCCATATGAGGGTCGATGAAAGCGAGTCAGGGTAGAGGAGTTGTCCTTACCGAGAGTTACAAGTTAAAGGGTTGGCTAGCGGTGCATGAGTAAAAGCCTACAAGCCTGCTAGTGGAGTTATAAAGTGCGCCGGTGAAATAATGGTGGTCTCTAACAGGGCATGTGACGGGATGTTGACCAGATGCTAGTGATGTGTCAACGAAATACCTGAAAGGTACCTTCGCGCTTGGCCTTGTAATTCTACTAGTGGGGGTGCTGACCTAAGAGGTGGAAGAGTCGCGTGTCTCTGGTGAGACAAATGACGGGACGTTCACCACCTGCTTGTGATGTGACAGCGACAACCATAGTACAGTATCGTTACGATCCAACGTGTCACGACGACCACCTGGCAACCTCAAATAAGCTCGGGGTCACGCTGATAGCCAATGAGAAGCGTTATGTAGTTGTCATCCCCCTCACACGGGATTGACAAGGAACATTAAACTTGTACCAGTAGCTATACGCGACAATAGTGGTTATATGCGTTCGGTATAAAATATGTGTAGTGTGCCACACGCAAAAGCCCTAAACACGCGGTGAAAATTTATGCGTACTCATCACGGAATAAATTAGGCTTCGCACCAGCGCACCTAATCTACATTTGGATGTTCTGACACAACATGAGTGTTGACACGAGTACCAATGATTGAAACATTGCAATGCACTCCTAATCGCTGCTAAATCGTTTCGAATTCCACTGCCTATACATACTAGTGATATCTGCTTGTTTGGCAGCCTACACAATCCAGCATGAAGATCTAGGGTACAATAGGAATGCCTCATAAGTGTGTTGACCATCTAGTCCTGGATATAGTATAGTCGGATAAAGCAGCACAAGCTCGGTTGCTAATGACAGGTGTTTGTCTGGACCTTCATCAACGCTTAATTATGCTTTCCAACTAAAAAGCCCTTAGGATCTTTACAGGACTAGACTCTGGATAGGGATGATGTAATAGCGGATGCTTTTAGTGCAGTGTTTGAACCATCTTGCGCTAGTATGTGAGGGCAAAGTAGATTGATTAAAACAAAGGGATACAAGCTTTTATAAGAGTACAAGGGAATATGAACAGTTATAACTAATAACTGTTTTGCTGTTGCTGTTGCGGTTCGATAAAGTGACGACTCGGGCAACTGCTCAATAACGAGTCAGTTGTTTGTCCTTGCTGTCGCGCTGTATTTGTCAAGTCAAAGGTCGCTGAACTTTGACTTTCGCGTAACCTGCAGCAGTTGCTCAACCTCTGAGGGTTGACTCGCCGATGCTTCGATATGTTCTGCTTCGCTTATGACTCAGTGTTTCGATACGATAGAGGCGCTTAAGTCAATTGTTTAGGAATGGCTCATTAGTGTGTTGACCATCTAGTCCCGGATATGGTCTAGTCGGATAACATGTTGGACGATACATTTGGAGTTTACGATCTCGATTGCTGAAGTTACCCCCCTCTTGTTTATCACATATGTCCATGGTTATTCTTATCTGATAGGATAGGTGGGTTTATGATCTTTTTTAATAGTATAGGCCATCATATTGGAACATGTATATCGTTCGGTGGTCACTCGCTAATACCGCGCGATGCCGAAAGCGAATACGCAATGGCTGTCAACTATCCGATGCTGACAAACTTGTAACGACTCAGTGATGGCTTCTCAAGTGTATCGCGGGTGGTTACTTTACTTCAGCCGTAAGCATTTTACTCTCGTCGTGTTAAGGTTTGCTTAGTTCGAGAGTTTCCAGTTCCTGTTTTGGTACTTGGTCCTTACTAGGGTTCCACTCGTGTCATTCGTATACATGGCGGGCACCTAACCGACCGTGGGTAGGTATAGTGAGTGTGTGGCGGAACATTTACAATGCACCCACTTCTTGAAGGCCTGTGACGTGTGGGTTTTACACCTACGGTGTACCAGGTGGTCTTGATGTTGAAACGGCACACAGACGTGTCAACGACTGCATTCTCGATGTTGTTTGTCTCCAGTGTTTACGGCATGCTTGCAGCATTCTCGCTGGATCGTGGTTTGTTCTTGGTGAGTATCTCGTGAGCCCCTCACCTTCAACCTTTCACTCCAGACGATCCTAGAAGTTGGGATACGCGGATCACGCTTCAAAGTCGTGGGGATATTCACCCTAGTGTTGTAATGTTTCAGGTTTTTTTTGGGATTGCCCCTACGTTTCTAAATTTGCGGCAGATTGTTGGTGGATACGATACGACTCAAAGCGTAAGTTCCTCACGCGCCGTTGTTTACGAGTACGACTCTAGTTTGTTTTTTTTTGTTCTTTTTTTTATAGCACTGAACATAACATCACTGGTTTTCCGAAAGGCCTTTACCACTGAGAGTTGATTTTAGCTATTCTTTGCGCTCAATATTCGGACGTGGCCTTTACTAGGGTTGTACTCGTGTTGTACTAATACGTGGCGTGCGACGCTGCGATCTGACGTCGAAACGGTGATTGTGTGGTGCAAACATTTACGAAGTACCCACGTCTTGATGGCCGATGCCACATGGGCTGTGCACGTACAGTCTACCATGGAGACGAGGTGCAGTTGTCATCGACTGAACTCTTACTGCTGTTTGGCGGCGGTGTTTACGGACTGCATACTGCACACCTGCGGTTTCGTCGTGGTGTGTTTATGGTGAGCTTCGCGTGGGGCCCGTACCGAAAACTGTTCGCGCCCCATGATCCCTGCACCACGGTTACACGAAACCCACACCGCTGCTTTGCGGACGTGATTTAAGGTGTTTCATAATATTTACGACCCTTTTACGATGCAAACACATGTCGAAAAGACGCATGGGTCACGGATGTTTCACTGGTGGTTTGCGGAGTGTTTAATGTTGACGTTAAAAGAGGAGATACTAGTGTGACCCTGCGCATTACAATTGCCACCGATGTTTTTTAGTAATACTTGATTATTACAAAACCGTGTCATCCGTTGACATCCTAGTGGAACTATGTATATGTTTCCAACAGAAGCATGTGTATCACTGAGCGGGCATTATGCCACACTGAGAAAGTGGATGACAACCCTACACACACTAGGAGTGAAACATACACAGTTTGCACAGCGGGGTTTTGAAGCAGAAAGCACTGTGAGGGAGGCAAAGGGTCCCATCCACACACCCACATCCAGTCATGAAGCCATGCTCTATGCATCCTTAAATCCTGATCCCTCCCGTTCACTTGCAGGCTCCACCCCGGAACTCTCTTCACCTCCCGTTCTTGCTGTCTTGTCGGGTTGAGCATCAGTCTCACCCAAGGTCAGCTGGAGTGCCGCTCTCTTACGATCTGCCTTGCGCATTTTCTCGTCATACTTTGCCTTTGCTGCTGGCCAATATTTCCTCCACTCCTCCCACATCTGCCAGAACTTCATTCGGACCATAATATCACACTGGGTTGGCGTACACCCTCGAAGCTTTGCCTTGTCCTCGGCAATCAATGGTATGAGTTCGCCTCGCGTTGGGTTGTCAATGAACATCATATACGAAGCGGCGGCTTTTGACCTGGCCGCATCGACCTCAGATCCAAAGTGGCTGTTGATGACAATCAGCGACTATGATGAGCGGTCCACGACGATCCTTGCGATCCACTCGTCCTTGCCCTGCTTTTTTGTGACGCCCATGAACCCCCTGGAGGCGGCCTCCTCGCCGTGCTCGCCTCCTTGGGTCGAGGGCGGCATAGAAGTGGAGGCTGCTGGGGAGGGCAGTACCGATTGCGACCCCTGCACGAAACCGGAGAGCATGCCCGATAGAGCCAGACCACGAGAGGCGGATGTGTGTCCACGTAGGCCACTGACATTGTCGAGCGCCTCATCAGCTACGAGGAAAGCTCCAGAATCATGAACGAGGGGGCGATGCGACAACAACGGCAGTTGCACGTTAGCGTGGTGCTGTCCAGAACCGAGGTAAAGCACGTTTGGAGGTTGCAGAGCATGGCCAATTGGCCCAGATGGCACGGCGGATGTAGCGGGGACCGGCTGATCACCACCTGCATGTGGAGCATAGCCTACCGCACATGGTGGTTGTGCTCCCTGGATATGCATCCCGGGTGGAAAGGCACACGGAGCAAAAAACTGCTCGCCTGAGGACCAAGTAGAGGAACCCGTTTGAACAACAGCTGCCCTTGCAGTCTCATCGGCCGCTTCCGATCGTACAGCATCCTGCACCAGCACACCTGGATGAAATATGGTGTGTTTTGTGTGTGGTCCCCCTATATCCCAGGCATCGTTGCTTGGCTGAACCACAGCTGCGTTCATAGGCCGCCCCGCGGCAGCTTGAACCCGTGTCTCTAGTCTAGTGGCCCACACACTCGACGCGGGCGGTGCACCAAAACCCTGATGCGGCACGGTTGCACCACCAGGGACTGGTGGTGACAGGTGATGCACATCTGTTGTTTTCTTGGCAGCACCCGAGCCAGTGTCGTGTGTAGCGCTCGAAGAGGGCCCTTGCTGACCCGCATATGCCATTGCATCCCTCGCGGTCGAGCCTGGCTGCGCTTGCATTGTCGTCGGAGCAACGGCTGCTGCAGCTGGCTGACCCGCGGCTGCTGTTGGAACTCCGGCGGCTGCACGCGTACAACCTGTGGAGGCGGTATGAATCCCGGCTGATGCCCTTGTTTGACCAGACGGTACGGTAGGATCATAGGCGGCTGCACCTGTCTAACCTGTCGTGGCGATAGGAATCCCGGCTGATGCACATGCTTGACCAGTCGCAGTTGGAAGAATAGCACCTGGCTGACTTCCAGCCGATGCTGGCATAACCGCTGCTGCACCTGGCTGTCCAGCCCCAGCTGCCCGAGCACCAGAGGAGGCACCTGGCTGACCTGGAGCAGATGGAAGAGCACCGGCTGGTGCACCTGGCTGCGCCGCTACAGGTGGAAGGGAACTCTCAGCGACGCATGGCTGCCCCGATGCGACTGTAGTAATACATGCAGCATCAACCGGCTGACCAGGCAAGGAGGTAGAAGTGACGGCCGTGGGGCCAAAGTGACCCGCCGCAGACTCTGGTGCGCCGGTTGTGGCTCCCTGGCCTTGGACAAAACCTGGCATCGTCGCAGAAATTGGTGGACGCGCGTATGACGGACCGGTAGAGGAGGCTTGGGGAGCAACGCTCTTGTCAACAAGAGCTTCAAATGATGATCCGGCCGTACGATGCGGCGGTGGGGCTGCATAGGTAGAGATGGCGGGTTCGTTGGTGTTCAAAACCTCCAGGCCAGCAGTCGGCAGCTTGAACCCTATTTTGGCAGCCATCCCCTGCAAGGCCGTAAAGAGCGAAGACAGGGTCACAGTCACTTTGACGAGCCCCTGTTCTCCCTTGTAAACCGAGTCTTTCAGGGACTCTACGTCTTCATGCAGGTTCTTGAGCTGCGCAGCAAGGACACACTACTCCGCCGCCACATCCTTAACCGTTGGCTCCTTTATCTCCTCAACTCCACAATCGCTATCACTGTCATCCCCTCCGTGCTGCTCACTTTGTGGGGGAATGTCGGCCCCCTTCAGTGTCAGAGATTCCAGCAGAGTACCTTTGCTGGCTTCGCACATCAGAGCACGGATTTCGCGCCTGCATTGTGCGGCACTATAACGGGGATGGGGGATCTCTTCTTCCATGAATTTGAAACCTCGGCCTACAAGCTCCTTGGTGAACATACACACGTACTGTAGACCCCGCAGTCCACACCAGTCTGTTGCTAAGGTACCTCGAAGTACTGCAGTAAAAAACATGGAAACAAAAGAAACGCAAGTTTAGATTCGCGTAAAAAAACGGGTCCGGCATGTTAGTTGCATCATGACAGCAAACACAAGTGTGGCATGCTCACCTCGAGAGCACGGCTGCTCACGCGTGTAAGCCTCTGTGTCACTACCACCCATGGCAGATCAGGGTTGGCCTTTTTCAGGGCCCGCCCAAGCAGCCTGCGGATGGATCACGAGGGAAAGGGCATTAGTAAACCGAGGTAAACCGGTGTGCATAAAAAACCGTATCTATCCCTAGCAAATTGACGATATATCATAAACTCACTCGTTAATGTTGGTGAAAACTGCCTCGCACATGTCGAAATGCAAGCGTGTGGAGTCGTACAGTACTGCTGATGCCGGTACTTGTGGCGTCAAGGCATCGTATTCCTCCTTACTGAAAACGGGGGTCCTTCACAACGACAAGGCTGAAATGATGAATTGGAACTCTGCAAACAACCATAAAGCACGGGAAGTCAGGTTATGCATGCCACGGAGTGGTACGTCAAGTTGTCGCAAACAATTTCCCTGCCTTCCGCAAATTCAGAGTCTCTTACTTGGTGAAAACCACGATGCACAGGTAGTCGCGCTCGAAGAGAGTCTTGCAGTCGACACCGCATGCTAGCTCCTGTCCCCCGGTGACGGTTTGGTACGCGAGCGTGTCTAGAGCCAACCACGTTTTTCCGTCAGGTAGGTGCTGGTGAAGAAGGCTCAACACACTGGAACAATACAAAGAATACAGATCGGTTACACGATGGATATGAAAATTAAAACAGCGCACACGCAGAACGTGTCTCACACGTGGTAAAAGTCGATGGTTGACGTCGTCAGCTCATAGCCATCCTGTATGTGGAGGGCATCCATGATAGTAACCCTCGCTTGCTGGCCGTCTTGGTTTTTTAGCTCATGGGATGGGAAATGGTCACTCTTAACAGACCTAGGTAGCTTATCGGTCGCGCAGTCTGGAACTCTGACTCCCTTCGCGAACCTCGGGTAGTTTATGTACGCCTTCTAATTTTACCGGGACCTTGAATTCAGGGCTCGGAGCCGGCATACTACCGCTCGCATCCTACCTGTTTCGGTTTGTTCGTTTCCCCCGCGCGACGGGGAGCTGACTACTAACAGCTTGTTGGCCCTTGTTGCGTGCGGACTGTCTAGTCTGCGTCATCGTGCACTGACCAACTAACGACTGCGTGAATGTAAGCAGGGGCGGATGGTTTCGAGAGATGTGGAGAGGAGTATGCTATGCTAATAGACTTGGATGGATCAAAAGTAAGAGCAACAATGGTAGCCACTCAATGACGCCAAAACTCTTGGCTCACGAGATGGTGGAAATGGTGACTGGGTGCTTACGAGAGGTTGACGGGGGGGAAGCCGAGGCGAAGTAAAAACGATGGAAGGACAGACTATTGCTCGCGTGGGTGCAACGGTGCTTAACCCGCCAAATGAAGTCCAAGGTGGCACGCTGTTATTGACTGTAACCCTGACAATGAGGGTTCTCGAATGTCACGCAAGGCAGGTTCGTGCACGCGTGCACGACAAGATATTTCCCTGCCAATTTCATCATTGCCACCGCTGCATGGATAGCCGTGGTCGACAGCGCATAGATAATGACAAAGATGTAATGATGTGTGCAACACTAACAAAGAAATTTGCGCCTACCCATGAAATCACAGAAAGTGTACTAAAGGTAGAGTTGTCGCGGAAAATCAACCGCAGGAACCGGGCGCGGTCGCGCGGCATGGGCAATGGGAAAGCCACTGCCCATTGGAATTGGAGACGAGAAAGCACCGCGGTTTGTCATTCCCTCAAAGTTGAGAGTCGTCGCGTCGCGCAATTATTTCTTCAAGTTGGGAATGGGTTCACTACTCACCAGTTTACTAGCTAGCTTCCGCTCCCTAAGTCCTAGTTTTCTGCCTAGTAACATACCGAACAATATCTGAGAACCTACCGTAAGCATTGTTTGTATAAGCTCGTAGTTATTGATTCTATGCGGATGCATATTAGGTTCATGGGCTATTAGCTCAGTGCACATCGCGCGACACGCAATCGTAGCGGTCCCCGTCACTGTCGGCCCATTTCACTTTCCGCTCGCCCCGGAACACTTCCCGTCACCATCGCCCTCCATTTCTTCTATCGCCCCAAGCGTCACCCTCCTCGTCGCCCTCGCGATCCCCCCCAATCACCCTTCAAATTTCCCTTCAGCTCGTTCTCCCCGCCACCGTCCATCTTCTCATCATTGCGTCACCCACCCTGCCTCCCTTCCCATCACTGCCTCCTGTTCTCTCTGCCCTCCCGTCGCCCTCCCGTCGCCCTCGCGTCGCCTTTCTCGACGTCTTGCCGTCGCTGTCCCGTTGCCCTCTCGCCTGTCGTTTGTCCCGTCTCTCCCGCGATTGCGCTCGTGATTGCCTTTTCGTCCCCTTCCCGTCCCGTCTCTCTCTACTTCTCCTCTCCCTTCCCATCGTTTTTCCCTTCCCCTCCCCACAATTTCACATTCCCATCCTTTCCTGTCACTCTTCACTCGTCACACTCACAATCACGTTCTCCCACCCCGTCGCTCCCGCACTCACGTTCTCCCTTCTCGTCGCCTTCGCTTCCCATCGGGACCCTCCCTCTCATCTTTTCTGCCTCGCTGTCTCCACTCTCATCACCCTCGCACTCTGTCCTCTCGTCACCGTCTCGTTCTCCCTCGGGTATCGCGTTATCGTGTCCCGTTTCGTAATCTGTTTTTGTTTTTTTAATCGTGCGTGCACACATCACAAAACAAGGCCTACCGATTTGGACAAATATTGGTCCAAATTAGGTCCTAGCTGACCAATATTGGTCCAAATTTGTGAGAAAAGAGAACGAGAATGAAATGACTAAGAGAAAGTTGGGTACAAGTACAAACCCCAGAAAGCTGTACCCCATATGTGCTACCCCACTATAGCCTATAGTAGCTATGTCATATAAATCTGACACACCCCCATAGGCAAAGTGGGGGAGAACAAGGGGTCACAAGACCAGTCAAGCAAAGCAAAGCAAGCTCAGGGTGGATCACAAGGTCACCACACATTCCGAGCACAAGTTCAAGGCCACAAGGCCAGTTCACGTGCAGGATTACATATATATATAAGGCTAGACAAGGAAGAGCAGGTGTATATATATATATATATATATATATGTATATATATATATATGCAACAGTACAAACAAGGTCAAGGGGTGAGCAAGTGAGGCAAGGAAGGCACAAGACCCAGCTGAGTACAAAAGCGCTGATGATCACAAGGCGCAAGTGCCTTGGTGAAGATATCAGCAGTGTTGGCCTCAGAGGCCACGTACGCAAGGCGTAGCTGACCACGCTGCTGTAGCTCACGAGCAAGGAAGTAGCGGAGAGCAATGTGCTTCGTTCTGTGCTCCAGTCTCTGCTCTCGATACAAGGCCAGCATGGCCTTGTTGTCTACGTACAGCACTGGAGGAGAACGAGGCGGCTCTCCGAGGTCAGTCAGCAGGTAGGTGAGCCAGCGAAACTCCTATGCAGCCATGGCCCCGGCGTAGATCTCAGCCTCACAACTGGAGCCGAGAACAGAAGACGAGCGGGTAGCCCGCCACAAAACAGAGCCGGAACCAAGGCTGAAGGTGTAACCCTGTGACGACCGCTGCGTAGCCTCGTCGTCAGCCCAAGAAGCGTCTGCGTGCCCAGTGAGGACCACTGGACTCTGCCCTCCAAGTACAAGCCCCATGCCCGACGTACTGCACAAGTAGCGCAACACCCTCTTCGCTGCAGCCATGTGCTCCGGTCTGTGTCTCCTAGGAGCAACATAGCGTGCGAGAATGCTAAGAGGGTATGCAAGGTCAGGTCGTGTGCAGGTCATCAGGTACATGAGGCAGCCAACAAGCTCTGGGTACGGGCCACTCGACTCTACGGACTCATCCGAAGGCAGAACTGAGAGCGAGTGGCGAGTAGGCAGAGGAGTGGCCTGAGGCGAGGAGTACGTGAAGCCGAAGCGCTGAAGGACCTGCTGCACCATGTGTGACTGAGTCAGGGTAATGGTGCGGCGTGCTCTGTCCCGGGTGATCTGCAAGCCAAGGTAGATGCGCAATTCACCCAGGTCAGTGCACGTGTGTCTCTTCTGCAGCTCGGACTTCACGTGGGCGAGTCCAGCAGTGTCAGCTGTGGCAAAGACCAAGTCGTCGACGTACACGAGGATGTAGAACGGCGACAAAGAGGTGTCGGTGCGCAGAAACAGCGACGGGTCGGCTGTAGAAGGAGAAAACCCAAGAGCCGCAAGTGTAGTCCTCAGTGTGCCGTGCCACTCACGGGGCGCCTGGCGGAGACC